AAAAGGGATTTCAAAGATACTGGAATTTCTCCACAGACATGTCCCAACCCCCTTGTACTGATCGATGCTACAGTGTGACTAAACTTAGAAAGCATGTTCAGTAACAGAAGCAGGACACCAAAGGTCACAGATTGTTGACTCCATTCATGTGAATTATCCAGAACAAGCAATCCAACACTTACAGAAAGCAGGTCACTGGGAGCCAGGACTGAGGGACCAAGGAGAAGGAGGAGGAGGAGGAGGCGGAGATGGGAAGAAACCGCTACAACCGAGAAGGGGCTTGACTTTAAGGTGATGGAAATGTTTTGATCTAGTTGCCCCACATCATGAATGTACTAAACACCACTGAATTGCACCCTTTAAAATAGTTAAAATTATAATGTTTGTTATATAAAAATTTCATAATTGTAAAAAATAAGCTGACCTAAAAAAAATGAAAAGATGTCCTCGTTTGAAATCATTGAATGGGGAAGAATTTTCAGTTTTCTAAAGTCTTATCTTAGAAATGCTGTGAGCCCTGGTGGCAGAGTGGCTTATGCCTAGCCTGCTACCTACAAGGTCAGCAGTTCAAAATCACCATCCACTCTGCGGGGGAAGATTAAGGCTTCCTACTGCGGGAAAGAGTTCAGCCACAGAAACCCACAGGGTCAGTTCTACTCTCTTACAGGATCACTATGAATCGGAATCGACTCAACAGCAGTGAGTTTTCAGTTTTAGCTTCGAAACAAGAAGAAACTACTACTGACTTTTCCAATCGCCGAAAAGCACTCCGAGAAGAAGGCTCTAAACAATTCATGACGTCAGGTGTTAAAACCCATCCCACTCCTGTGTTTGATGACCGCACTTGGGTCAACGTCTGCAGCCCGCTGTCCAGCAGGTACCTTCCCTTCCACCCGCCTAAGCCAGACGCCACCTCTGTGCGCCTTTCCTGCTAACACCTAACCTAGTTCATTCTCCGAGGGGAAGCGAGGAGCACAGCGCAGGGGAATGTGTGTTCCCACAGACCTCAGAAATGTGATGATCTCAGAGGATATGGTAACGAAAGACCCTTGACACTTCCCTACGGAAGAATGTCTTCTGAAAGAGCCTACTACTGCCAGGACCAAAAGCATGTGCTGGGAACATCTAGGGGCGGCTGCTGCTGCTGTGTGTGTTTCCAATTCCGATGTCCCACTTCCTCTTTAGAATCACATTCTTTCTCTGCTTACTGCTCTCTACAAAGACACGCTGAGGCCCTGGGTCTCTGCTAAGCAGCAAAGGGCAGTGTCCTGCTAAACACTTCAAGATAAAACAGACTAAAATAGATTTCAATAAATATAAGTCGTTTGAAACTATGCCCTTCCACCAATTTTAAACATGTCAAAGACATTATTTTTAAATGTTGGCACCCTAACTTTTTTTTAAGAAAAATACAGTTTTGTTCACTTGTAAAGATAATTCCTCCTGGCGATAGAAACATACAGCTTTTGGGGACAATATCATTTTTTAAGAATTATGATGTCATGTATCTGGCCTTTCAGATCAGATAAATGAATTCTAACCTTGTTATACTATGTACTAGTTGAATGACCGCGCACAAATCACTTCTGTGGTAATCAGTCGCCATATCCGAAAATATAAAAAACATCTGGCTGTCACTTCCTGCCTTTTGAAAGGATCAATTACGTGTGTGTTATTTTGAATGTTTCAAAAGACTTATAAATAACTAAATAGCTATTATCCCTATTATTAAAAAATATATATGCCATACAGTGTAATACATTAAAGAATATAAACTTTGGAAACAGAGAGTCTCGAGTTCAAATCTCACCTTTGCTGTTTATTTATTGCACATGGTATAAGACACAAGTTACTTAGCTCACTGTATTTCTCCAAGCCTGTTTCAATTGTGAAATGAAGATACTTTACAGAATTGCTTAAGTACTATATCCTGCCTTACTGAGCTGTTAATACTGCACACAAACTACTTTACACATGGTAAACACTTGCTAAATGATAGCTATAACTACTGTTGCAGGAGATCTGGTGGCCTAGTGGACTAGGCGTGGGCTGCTAACCACAAGGTCAGCAGTTCCAAACCACCAGCCGCAATGAGGAGCTGATACCAAGGGCTCAAGTTGAAGGCAAATGTTTTGAGAATGATGATGATAACAACTGTAGAAATGTGCTCGACACAATGGATGGATGGATGATGATAAGAATTGTTCGAACCCCCAATAAAATGATTTTTTTTTAAGTCTCAGAAACCGACAGGGGGAGTAGTTCTACCCTGTCTTCCAGAATTGTTAGGAGTCTCAACAGACTTGATGGTAGTGAGTACTGGTGTTGCAATAATAATCACTGTTGGACTATTTGGTTAAAAACATCCAACTGCCTATTTATAATAGCAGAATGAAAGGGTAAAAGTGCATCTCACCCAAAAGGAAAGAAAAAATAAAATAAGACCCCCACTGCCTTTGAGTCAATTCCAAGTCCTAGTGACTCAGTACAGAGGTTCTGAGGTTACCTATCTTTATGGGAGCAGCAGATAGCCTCATAGTTCTCCCTAGGCACAGTGAGTCAGTTTGAACTGCCAACCTTCAGGTTAGCAGTCCAACGCGTACCCAACAGCCTATCTACCAGAGCTCCTTCACACAAAAGGAGGCAGACACTAAAAACAAGGGCACTATGAGGATGATTCTTAATCAAACATCACAACAGCCTCCTAACCAAATCTCCCATTTAGGGTGTACTCCTTCCCTAATGCTGGGGCAGGGCCGCTCCTCAATGTTTTGCATAACTGCAGTAAAGGAAGGAACGTGAGTCTTCAACCCCAGGCTTGACCAAGTGGTGATTCATTCAGTGAAGGGACAGTCCATAACACAAATGGGTACCTCGGTGGACATTCAGAACAAGAACACCTACTAGTTAGGAGACTTCTATGCCTGTCTCTGGTAGCATTTTTAGGCTCTGCAGTTCATTAATATATGCCCATGTGCCTACTTGAAAGGAATCCAGCTGTGGTTGCATTTGACAAAACAATTCACGACACAAAGGAAAAGTCCGACATGGGAAAGCACTAACAAAGAAGTCCCCTCCCACCCAGTTAGCTGCCCGGGATGATGTTTCACCAGGCAGGGTGCCGGTTTTCCGAGGACAAACAGCTTGACAGTTGGAGATGGTCCCACGTCAACTTCACATCATGATGGTTCTTCAAGGCAAGCCCCACAGTTTTTCAGCTTATCCTGAAAATCTGACCACATCCCCCATTTTACAAAGGCAACCCCTCAGCAGTAGCGTGCACACAGTTCTTTTCCATTACCACGTAGCGAGCAGGAAACTTTTTTCCAGAGTAAGCTCCTAACTTGCCTTCTAAGGTTAAAACAGGATGCTGTCCAACTTGGTTTCTCTTACAATGAATGGCCAGTGGGGTGGTTTGATGATAGACATCTGTCAAAGTCCTTCCCCAGTAGTGAGACTACTATCACTGAGAGTCGTCAATCACCCAGTAATTCTAAGCTTCACTCCGACTTTGGGATCCTCCCACCAGTGTCCCATGTCACAAACTATGAATGCCTGGCAAGGTCAACCTCCTCCCCCAAGTTGTGCTTGGAATTCTCCATTCAAAAACCACTCATCGTTCCATCCCCCAATGCCCGCAGGGTCAGCCTACCCTCTGGGGCTTCCTGATTCCAATCTAGTAAAGGGTAACCTAACCAATGCCTGACTTTACATTTGGTTCCACCTCCCCACCTCAAAAAAAAAAGAAAGAAAAAGATCCCACTCGCCACACGGGTACATGCTTTTCTTTCTTATTCCAGACAGTCCACTGGGGAGAACAGCATGCCCTCCCTACCAGAAAGCCAGGGTGCCCTCAACTCTGAAAACCCCAATGTGTGTGCGCGAGCGGTGTTTTCTGGCAAAGACTGTAAAAAGGGCTTTGCAATTCAGCATCACATAATCGAATGCGTTTATTTCGTATTGTCTAACTCTCTGGTGGCTTCTCTCAAAACACTCCTGAAGAAGTGTCCTACCGTATTACTATCCAAAAAAGTATTTTGTGTCACAGTCTATAAAATGTGCCTTCAACCTAACCCTTGGGAGCCCATCGCTACAGACCCACAGGCACTCGCATACCCAGAGAGAAACTGGTTCCCAACAAAAAGGAAGAAACCCTCCATTAGGATTAACTCGATTGGATTTCGGCAAAGTAACCTCCTCCAGAACGCCTAGAACTCAAGGAGGCACACAACTTGTTGCCACCCGAACAAAGCACTACAAATAAACTCCAGAAACCCACACAGCCCTGGGACAAAAATGTGTGTTTGTAATCAACTCCCCAGCGCGCTCTCAGCATCCCCCTCCCCAGTCTTCTCCCCGTCCCAGCTCCCTCCGGGCTCCGTCCCTAATCTGGTTTCCATTGCGGCCCCGCCCCCTCCCCTTCCCCGCCGCGGCGGCGCATCCACCCCCGGCCCGGCAGGAAACGAGACGGGGCAGCCCCTCCACCGCGCGGAACAAAGGAGGAGGGCGCAGCTGCACGCGCACCCAGCCCCGTCCGGGCTCCGGCCCGACTCCCGCGCTGGGGCACACCGCACCTGAACCCCACGCCCCACGGCGCCCCTTTGTTCCCCCCCGCTTTCCTTCCCGCGGGGAGGCACCCCAAGTCCTGGCACAGGGGCCAGGGGCCAGGAAAGAGCCGGGGCCACTGGGAATTAAGGCGTGTAGGTGACCAAGGGGACCGTGTGGGCTCCCCTCTGCCCACAGGTACGAAGGGGACAGGGCAAAGTGAAAGCGAGTTCGTGGGCAAGCCCGCCTCGCCCATCCTCCCCCAAAGCATCTGCGGAGACGCGACCTCCGGCGCGCGCGAGTCCGACCGCCTCGCCCCGAGGGAGAGCCGCCAACGCCACGGACCGGAGCCCCGGGGCCCCCGAGCAGCAGGGCGCGGGCGGCCGGTCCCCAGCGCGCGGGCCGGGGCCAGCGGAGCGCGAAGGAGCAGGGCACGAGGGGAGCGTCCGCGCTACCTCGCCAGGCGCCGCGCCGCCTCCTCGGGTCCTCCCTCTCC